CGCGACTCGTGGGAAGCGCGCGAGCGCTCCGGGACACCCTGTATATCGTGTGCGAACAAGCCGCCGCCGCGGGGCAGTATCGCGAGGAGAGCGTGTGACTTTTTGCCAAAGAAGCCTCGCAGATTGCACACCTGTGCGTGGCCGAGCCGCAGGAGAGACCTCACCTATCGAGCAACTGGTCTCCCCATTGACTTTTTCTCCCTTCGCGCACCCATCGCCCCGCGCACGCCTCGGCACGCTTTCGTGTTCTCCTCCTCTCTCTCTCTCTCTCTCTCTCTCTTGTTCTTCCTTTTCCGCGCCTGCCCGCCACATCATCGTGCCACCCTCCGCGATTTCCACCGCCCCATTATGCGTAAGACGTAAAGCGCGCGCGTTCCCCCCCTGCCTCCCCCCATATCCCCTCGTCATCGAGTCGAAGCTCTCGCGCTCTTCTAATGCCCGTTCCTACCAACAGCCGATTAAACCTGAGTCCTTCGTCCGGATGGAGTTTGAATTCTGGCTCGGGGGAGGGAGAGATCGTGACTCTTGGTTTAATCCCACGTTACTCGGAACGAGCGTAAAAATGTTCGCCGGGGTGTGATCGGTATCATTCGCCGCCGGCTCGAAAGTGTAACGTAATACCCGGCAAAGGGCGTTCTCTGCCGTGCCGGCGCGAAATCCGTCGTAATAATACCCGAAGCTTCGACACTTGGATCTTGAAGTCTCGATGAAGTCGCGCGATCCGCTCGGTAGCGGAAAGATATCGCCGGGCGCCGAGTGTATTCCACAGGATACTCCGAATCCGATCGCAGCGAATCGAAAGATCAAAGGTTGCGCTCGCTCGGCTTCAGCGATCGACACTGATTCATCCCCGGTGTGAGAATAAAGAGGGAAACGGAGGAAAAGTGCGGCCGACGAGCGGCGACTCAGAGGAGCCACCGCGATGAGAACTCGCATCGAGAGAGAGAGAGAGAGAGAGAGAGAGAGAGAGAGAGAGAGAGAGAGAGAGAGAGACGACTCCCGCTGTCGCTCGAGCCCCTCGCTTTATTAACCGGTGACCGATTCCAGTCTGTAAATTACGACGAGCTCCGGGCTATCGTTGCGACGCGTTATCATCCGGCGATACCTTCATAACCGGGCGCGCGCGCGCGCTACATCGCCGGTTAAAAAGCGCCATTACTTACACGTCGGGACGACGGAGTCTTACGGAGCGACCGGCCGGTTCTCTCGCGCCGCGCCGGTGCGAAATATAATGTAATCTGCCTGTAAGTAAGTCGAATGTTTCGCCTCGTGAGATCGTGCTCGCCCGGGACCCCGTGCGTTTACCGTTTCCTTCTTTTTTCTCCTCTTTTCTCTCTCTCTCTCTCTCTCTCTCTCTCTGTCGCTCGAGCGAACGAACGCTCCTTTTTCTTTTTACATAAGCCGGCTCAATTACGACTCGGTCGTGTCAGAGGCGAGCGACGCCTCGTCTCGCCTCACCTCGTCTCGCCTCGCCTCGCCTTCGCCTTGGCTCGCCTCGCGGCGCGCATATATCGGTGTACTTTATGCCTCTGTGTGGTCTGGTTGTCAATGCATCGCGAAATTTAAGATAAGATCGCGCGGGCTTAAATCCGGTCGACACGGCCGGCCGCGCCATTACCGGAATCGGGGCCAAGCCGAAAGTTAAGTCCCTCGCGTTCCCGAACTCTAAAATGTACCGGTGCAACTGCCTCTAATTTATGGCGCCTTTACGCGTCCCGGTCCTCCCAGATTTTCTCACACGTGTAAATCCCACTCGGTTTCCCAGCGCCGCCGCTGGCGGAGGAGGCGAGACGAGCCGCGGCCACTGCGTCGTCTCTCTCTCTCTCTCTCTCTCTCTTTTCCCCTTCTCGACGCGCGGAGGAGGAAACTCGACGGAGAATACGGTCTTTACTCGGACCAATTTCACTCACGACGGCTTCATCAACGGCTGCGTTTCCACGCTGCGGTTTTCATCTACGGCGGGAGCAGCCGAAGAATTCGCGCGCGCGAATCGACACGCTTTCGTCGAACCGTCCAATCGAACGTTGAATTACGATTTCTCTCTCTCTCTCTCTCTCTCTCTCTCTCTCTCTCTCTCTCTCTCTCTCTCTCTCTCTCCGCCGGGCAGGCCAAGTGTGAAAAATTATCTCGTGTGGTGTTCACTCGTCTGTTCGGACCGGTTGTTCCAACTTCTTGGTGAGTTAACTGATAGTTAAGTCATATGTTTATCTTTGTTTTTCCTTCAATTTAAACGGAGACAGATGTATGATTTAACCATCAGTTAACTTACTAACCTCGAGAGACCAGGAGGAACCGCACGCGTCTCCGATCGTTCGTTCGAGCGACGCATGGCTTTCTTCGTCGGCCGAGCTTCATCGAATGTGTCGATCAAACGGCATTTTTTCGTCGGTTGGACTATTCTCAAGCATATCGCTCGCCAGCTTGATTTTGCCCACGCGGAATACGACAATTTGCTCTCTCTCTCTCTCTCTCTTTCTCTCTCTCTCTCTCTCTCTCTCTCTCTCTTTCTCTCTCTCTCTCTCTCTCTCCCCCCCCTTTCTCCGGACTTGGTGCGCAACATTATTCCGAGATGTGTGACGATGCTAATTAGGTGCGAGCGAGCGCAGCGCTTGGACGAAAGATGAGTCAGCGTGTGCGACGAAGGGCAGTCTTTTGCTCATTGTAGCACGACGTATGACGATAAACTCGCTCGAGAATCGGTCCGATGGAAAAAAGGAGGGGGGGAAAAAAGAACTGACTTTGCGCGCGAGTACGTGTACTTTGACGTACGGTTAAATGGATCGATCACGCTGGCGAAACTTCCAAGATGAAAGACCACACAGATAGCAGCCGCGAGACGTAATTGGATCGATTAAATGCCCGACAATCTCGGATTGTCGGTCGGTTAGTTAAACATTTTCTTTTTCTCCGCTACGCCAACACCGCTGCGGGGGAGCGACGGCGGTTTTCCATGCCCAACGAAATCAATTAAATCGCAACGAGGAGGAGCCAGAGGGAAAGAAAGAGAAAAAGAAAGAATGAGAGAGAGAGAGAGAGAGAGAGAGAGAGAGCGAGAGAGCGAGAGCGATCCTCCGGTGCTCTCTTTGGGACAAAGCCGCCGATCGCGATTCACACCGGACACGTCCGTTCCGAGAAAGTCGATCTCCGCAGAGAAACGAGACAGATCTCGGAACGTGTCCAGTCTGTCGCGGGTGCTCGCCTTTGGGAATCCTTACAGAGAGGGGGGCGAGAGAGAGAGAGAGAGGGGGGGGGAGGGGGGAGAGTCTTAACGATCTCGGGATCCGGGCGACTTTGGGGGCAAATTATCGGCCTGCGGCCAATTACCAGGTGGAGGCGCCGATATACAGAGGAGAGCGGTTGCGAGAGAGTTCCGAGAATCGTCCGCGGCTAAAAATAAGATCCCACCCGGGAGCGGTGATTATGTTCCGAAAAAAGAAGAACCAGGCGAAACGCTCTCCTCGTGTGCAGGTGGCGGTGGGATGGGCGAGGGATAGGATGATGATACGGACGAAGGCAGAGAGAGAGAGAGAGAGAGAGAGAGACGAGGAGGAGGGGGGAGAGCGAGAGCGAGAGAGGGGCGGGGGGGAGAGGGCGAGAAGAAAGAGAGCGAGAAAGGAAGGCCCCCGCTCGTGGTGGATCGTGCGCTGAGGCCCCCGTTAATGAAGTTGTCGGTTGAGGACGTTTACAGGTGGGGCCTACCTGCGTGTGGTCCATTCACAGCGACTGCTGCAGGACTGGTTAAGAGTTGCTTTACATCTCTACCCGTGTGCAGGTCGGGCCGGCCGCGGCAGAAAGCCCGTGAGGAAGAACGCGAGTGAGAGGGCCGGGGCGGGGCGGGGCGGGGCGGGGCGGGGTGAGACGGGGAAGGGAGAAGGTGACGGGGTATATTGGTATATCCAAACGTATGTCCGTCGTTACGTACACAACGAGCGATTCTCGCGCTCTCCCGCGCGGTCCCGCCGACGACGACGTGCGCAAACTCGAGTTCCCGGTTTCTCTCTCTCTCTCTCTCTCTCTCTCTCTCTCTCGGCCGCGGGTCATATTTTTCTCCGAAGTTTTGCCTCTCCCCCCCCCCCCCCGTCGCGTCCGGGGCCGTTCCGCAGGACTTGGTCGTCGCGCGTCGCCCGGCCGAGAGTGCGTGGACCGGCCCGATTGAGAGGAATAGAGAATTGGGACGAGCGGGAGGGGGGAGGGGGAGGAATAAAAGAGAGGAAACAGCTCTTTTCTCTCAAGCGAGAGAGAAGAGAGGTGCTGCTTGCGTGTGAAAGTAGCGTGTAGACGAAGAAGCGAATCGACGAATTTGCCGAGGCTGTCCGTTATCCCCGCGGCTGATGTAACGCGCTATTGACCGGCGAGATTATGGCGTGTTTCGAACGCGTGTGATAAATAATCGATTGCAAAAACGGCAAAAAGTAACGGGACTGGAAAACGGGACATGGAAGTGTTCCTCAGCGATTCCGCGATAAGCCCCGCAGGAGAGAGATGTGGAGCGGCTAAGAGCAAGAGCCCCGCGTGTTTACCTCGCGAGTGCGCGCATTTAGGGGCCGAGACAAACCCCCCCTCGCGAGAAACAAAGAAATTGCTCGAATTCGTCTCGGAATCGGCTGTAACTTTCGGCACTCGGCGCGCGCGCGCGCGCGCGCGAGAGAGAGAGAGAGAGAGGGGGAGACACTTCCATGTTCGCAAGAACGAGAAGCGAGACCGAGTCGAGAGAGAACATACATCGAGGGCATAAGTCGCAATCGAATAGTCGGAAAGACGAAGGTGAAACGATTCACAGTCACTTTTAGAATCTCCCCATAAACGAGGAAAGCCGGGAAATCCCACGATGAAGGACGACGCTCGCTTCGCGTTTTTATCGCGTCCGTTTTAGAAGCCGACGGAGAGTCTGAAGAGAGGAAGAGACAGAGAGAGAGAGAGAGAGAGAGAGAGAGAGAGAGAGAGAGAGAGAGAGAAACGGACTCTTCAGCCGCGAGAGCAAGGAAAGGAGAGAATTACCCCGCTTTAACGCACGGTCTGTGTTCTTTTCTTTCGCAGATGATGCATCGCCAGCAAAACACTCAGTCGTCGTCGTCCAACGAGTTCGCCATGTACCCGTCGGCCGCCTACCACTCCTCGCACTCGACGCTACCGTCGTCGACGTCGCTGTCGGCGTCGTCCTCGTCGTCACCGGCGTCGCCGTCGTCCTTGCCGTTGCCGTCGAGACCGCTCTCGGCGTCGTCGTCTCCGATCCTGCTGTCTGTCCTCACGTGGTCGCTTGCACTGCTGCTGATCTCGTCCTGCATCAATCTGACGGACGCGCGCACCCTCAACGGCCATCCCCTGAGCAAAAGGTCCTTCTTCGATATCCAATGCAAGGGCGTGTACGACAAGAGCATCTTCGCCCGCCTGGACCGCATCTGCGAAGACTGCTACAACCTCTTCCGGGAGCCGCAGTTGCACATGCTTTGCAAGTAATTGTCAAGCGATCAAGTCAGCTCCTCCGGGTATCAAATGCGAAAGCCGGTGTTGCGCGCGCGGAGAGAAGTCGCTCGCCTCCGCGGAGAGGAGAGGAGAGGAGAGCCAGCCAGCCAGCCGGAGCTTGAGCGCTGCCGCTTTTCCCGAAACGCGTCCCGTAATTTGCCGTTTTCCGATCGAGGATCGAGCGCGCCTCTGCTCGGATAATTCTCCCTTCCCGCGACAACAACGTCGACGATGACGCAACCGCACGCGGCGTCATCATCGGCGGGGTTAACTTGATATTTTTAACGATGCTCATCCTCGAGCGAGCAAAACCGGCCACGCGGGCGAGAACGGTCTTTCCCGCGAAAGACCCGCTAAAAATCGGCCGTTCAAACGTTCCGCGCTGTCAGGGTCAAGGTGGCGCCAGCGATCGGCAACCTTCGACGTGGACTTGTCCGCTTAGCGTGTCTATCTTTCATTTCGCTGTGAAACCCGAGCGGGAATTATCGAGCGCCTCGTCTTCTCGGCCGAGACCAAGAGAAAAGGAATCGAGTTTACGGGATACGCGTGCGGGAGCGCCTCGCCAGCCGGGAAACCCGCGGAGGCGAAGGCGACAGCGCGCGGAGAGGAAAGTCGCGGGCGACTTCCGCCGCGTGATTTCTACATTCAAAAATGCCGGCGGCGGCGGCTGACTCGGCGAACAACGGCCAAGGTGGACAGATACGTACCTTTGTAGGCGCGCGCACACGTGCTCCGGTCTCGGTGCCACCGTGTACACCGTGCGAATACCCCGAGTCCGCCGCGCGTCGGCACGTGTATCGAAATGGAATGAGATTTCTCTTCTATTTATAGCTCGCGCGAGCGAATGCCAACGCACATCCGCCGCTACCTGCCGTTTGTGCCGCGCCGCGCTCGGCCGCTTAACGGCCGTCTCGAAAGAGCTATTGTACCGGCAAACGGGTTCAACGCGAGCAGGGGAAGGGGGATTGACGTCCAGCTCGAGAAAGAGAGAGAGAGAGAGAGTCTGCGGTTGAGCTTGGAATTTCGAGAAAAATTCATCCGCGCGTTTTCGTGTGGAAAATTCGCGACGGGGATGGCGGCTGAGTCGATAGTCGAGAGCGGAGCGTTCGAAATTTGTCACACGTAATACGTTTCCTCGCTGAACGCAGATGTCAGCAGCATTTGTACATTCGTTGTTAATCACTGTACATTCGTCTACTTGGTTTCTGAGTAATTTTCGCCGTCGGATCTCTCTCGAGTGTCGGCTTGGCGCAGAGGCCAGCTGGTGTTTCTCTCGAGTCGATGAGAGAGCGCGCTGCGGATATTTCAAAATGACGGGCGGCGTTAATCGGTTAGGTTTTGTCTACTTCCGAAAAGGAAAGGATATGATCGCGTTGCTTTCGGTGTTACCGCGAAAGTGAGTATGAACGCAGGGTCTCTCTCTCTCTCTCTCTCTCTCTCTCTCTCTCTCTCTCTCTCTCTCTCTCCCTCTCCCTCTCTCGACTCAACACTCAGCCTGCCCGCGAGAGCAGCAAAGAAGGAATTCCTCGAATCTCACGGTCGCAATCTAATCACAATACGATACGATTGTAAGGAGTAGATTTGTCGCGTGAGAGAGGGAGAGAGAGAGAGAGAGACGAGAGCGCTCTCGCGCGATCGTTTTCACAGCGCATCCTTCGGGACTTCCAGGCCACCGGCGGAGCGAATGGCGTTGACTCACGATTCACCGTGTCGTTGTCTTGTTTTCGAAATGTTTGCAGGAAGAATTGTTTCACGACGGACTACTTTAAAGGATGCTTAGACGTGCTGCTGCTGTCGGACGAGGTGGAGAAAATCCAAATGTGGATCAAACAACTCCACGGAGCTGACCCTGGGGTTTAGGTAGCTTGTTTTCTTTTTGGTTTATGATTTCTCATTATGCGCCCCCTTTCTTTTCTCCGCTTTTCGTCTATTCTACTAACTACTCTAACTTAACCGCGTCCGCTTACTCTCCAATTATCCTTCCTCGCCTAGTCTCCGTACGTTTGAGGACTTCAACATCAATGTTTCGAAATGACGTAGACGCCCGCGAGATCGTGTACTCACCAAGAGAGGTCAGAGTTTCGGGGAGGGCGGAGGGGAAATTTCAGCGGGGTTTTAATCGTACGTTAACGGCACGTGTGTGTATGTGTGTATATGTGTGCGTGCGTGTGTGTGTATGTGTGTGTGTGTATGCGCGTCTTAAGATTGATTGTTGTACGGCGGTGTTTAGGTGAAAAATAGCTCTGTGCGAACGCTTCGGACAAGATCGGCAGGGGAACTAGTAACTTCTTGCCTCCTCGCTTGGCGATATTTTAAGCGCGAATGTTTAATCGAGCCAGCAGCATATGATTATCGGACGCAACTCGCGAAGCACACGTCCGTGCGAAATCACGGGGGGGGCCGACAGGGATCTCCGCTTGTACCTTGTCTTCATTTCGCCCTCTGTCACTTTCAATTACGTTTACGTTGCACTTGGACTTGCCACCACTTGGACGAATGTAACCGCGCGTATTATAGATCTCTCACCGCATCGACCTAATGAGTACGAGAGATTAGGTAATTCTGCGCATGCTTCTGCCAGCGAGCGATGCTGCAAATGTAGACAGAGCGCGAACAGTGCGCGGAATCGTCGAGTCGAGTCGCGAGAGAAACGAGCGAGAGAAGAAGCTCGCCGCTTGCGGAAGCGTGTCCGAACGCGCGCGCGTTGCCGCGAGAGAAGCGACGAGTGCTCGAACGTTAACAATACTCGCCGGGGAAAAATGCAGCATTGCTCTGGCCACAAAGTCCGCATTTTCACCTCACACACGGTTCGCTCGACCGCGACGGTTTTTTCTCAGAGCGTTTTTCTCTTTTTTTCCTTTTTCTCTTTCTCACACAAACCGCCCCCCCCCCCTCCCCCACCCATGACACACAGACGACATGACACACGAAGCGATTTTTGAGACGATTTTTTGGCCGATGTCTTTTGCAGCGCTGTTTCCTTCGCACGACGGCGAACGATGCAGAAGAGAGGAGGGGGCAGATTCTGTAGGAGAATCTTTTTTCAGGTGGCGCGACGCCTGTGATTTTGCGATTTTTCCATGTTTTTGCGACTTGTCGCATTTTTGAGCATTTTGCCTCCAAACAAGCGGGACGTGTTCCGCCGCGCTCTGCACACACGACACGTGGGTTTTTGCTGTTTTACGATGTGGTCGAGATCTCTCCACACTTATCCCCCCCCCCATCTAGCGTGTACTAACAACTTACTGGTGGATTCGCAGGCCCGTTCGTTCCTCTTGCTCAAACTTATTCAAACGAGTCGCGTAACATCGTTGTTTTGTTACGCGTAAAATTGTCAGGCGCTCAAGTTTACGAATGATCAGAGCTCTAAAGTTAGTAGTACCCCCCGGGTGAGATCTCCGGGCGGCAACGGGAACCGGGGCCGTTTCGGGGTTGACCGTTCAAGTATATTTCAAAGCGAAGAAATCCTAGCCGGTGTTGGCGCGGGCGCAGTTGCTCGAAATTGACGAGAGGTCACGGCTCCGTCGCGTTCAACTTGCAGCTTGCGCCGGCGATAGGAGCGTTGCTTGTCCATTCGCGAGAAATCGAAACTCGAGCCCGGCCACTTGTAAAGCCATCGGGGAACGCAGGGCCGAGCGGGTCTGGCGAATACGCATGCGAAACCACCGGCACCGAGTGTCAGTGGCCGTTGCTGCCACTTGCGTAGTAAAGTAACCGTCTGACCAGTCGATCTTTCTGTTCTCGATCTGCTCCCGCGCCACAGGGCAAACTGCTTCAGTACAGAATACTTCGATGGCTGCCTGGAAGCGCTGATGCTTGCTGAAGAGAAAAAGGAGCTCCTGGAGATGGTCGAATTCCTAGGTCGCAAGTAAACGGGATACAAGTCGGAGCAACGATGCGCCGCATCGCGATGGGGAGAGACACCAGCAAATACACACGCACACACACACACACACACGCACACGATATACACATATGCGAAGAGGCCGAAGAGGAGGTCTACGGAGAAGAACGACGCCGGTCTCCTCGAAGAGAGGACAACCATCCTCAGGACCGTCGACGCACAATAATGACCGACGATGCCGCCGTCGAATCGACCATCAGCCGGCGAGGCGGCGACGAGGTGTGTCACTTGCGACGTCGTTCATCGCGTGGTCATGGGGAAGTCGAGAAGCAGAAGACCGAAGAGGAGCGCGCGCGCGCATGTTCGCGAAACGTACGCTTTGTCCGTCGCGTGGTCTGAGCGCCGATTCGAGATCGACACGATCTCATTAGTGTCTGATTAGATTATCGCTGGTGTCGGCAGGGTGTATATCTCGCGAACGTCCCTGGTGCCGACACCGACAGGTATTGGCGGTGCGCGATGAGCGTATGCGGAGGACGGAAGAATTTTTTGGACAGAGATGCGGAAAAGGGGCGGGAGGGGGAGGTAGGAATGAGAGAACTAAAGAGAAAGAGAGAGGGAGACGCCGGTCTTTCGCGGTGAACCGCGTCGTTATCTGACACGCACGGTGAAGAAGGAAGCGCGAAACAATAGCGCACTAAATAACGAGACACGCAAGCAAGACGGTACGGATCGAGCCATACGCATGACACACACACACACACACACACACACACAGACACAGACACATGCATACACAGCAAAAATCCATACGAATTCTAGTCGATAAAATATCCGCGCTCTTGCGCGCTACGCCACGTTTTTATTCGATTAATCATTATTATAATTATTAACGTTAAACGTCGTCACTCATCACTATGTATAATAGTAATGATAATCTATATTATTATTATTATTATTAATATTATTATTATTCGATTACTATATATATATATAGATATATATTATGTCACGGTTATTTTTTATCATCGCTGTTCTCATCTGTTCATTATTCAGTTGACGACACGAGCCCTTGGTCGTTCATCGGGTCGATGCACACGCGGCGCGATGGACGAGCGAGGGCACTGATCGCCCGCGAAATTGTGCAAAGCCTTTCACTATACATCACGTCGCGTAACGTCGCGAGGAAAGAAACTGCGAGGTAACGAACGGCGTACTCGTGAATCCCGACGGACATTCGAGAGATGAGAGAGATCTCCCTTTTCTTCCGGTTCTGAATGTTTCTCTCGAGCGATACACCATGGAGATGTTGGGTCGAGGAGGATCCATCCGTCACTCGAGAACCGACCGCACACACACATTATAATATATAATAATAATAATAATTATTATTATATATATATATATTAATATTATTATTCTCATAGCAGAATTATTGTTGTTATCATTGCGACATATAGCGACGTCTCCGCCCGGGTGAACGCACCGCGCGCTGGAAGAGACACGCTCTGGCGACGCGGACGATACGCACGACGTTCAATTGTGAGAATCGAATATATTATAGTAATAATGCGGCATACGCGTGAACATTGTCGAAAGCTCTTTGTCGAGGAAACAGAGAGAGAGAGAGAGAGAGAGAGAGAGAGAGCGAGAGCGAGCGAGCGAGAAAGAGAGAGAGAGAGAGGGAGAGAGGATCTTGCTGTAATTTATTTGCCGGACACGTCCGCGTTTCGCACGCGTGTATTTTCCCTCCGTGCGGCCGGCAGCTCGCTCGAACGGAGTCGATCGTTGATATAAAGACGCGTAGTATTTATTTATTTTTTCACGTTCTTAAGTTATAAGCGACATATATAGCGAAGCAAAGTATTAGCGCGCGTACCTAACCGAGAGAGGGAGAGAGGAAGAGAGAGAGAGAGAAAGAGCGCGAGCGAGCGAATGAATGAATGTGAGAGAGAGAAAGAGAGAGAGAGAGAGAGAGAGAGAGAGAAAGAGTAGTGTTTGCGAACGCAGGGGGGCGCGCGAGTCCTCAAAGCCGTCCAATTGGATGATTGCCTGTTGTACAATGCGCGAAACAACCCCGGGCAGAGTCCCCGGGGCCCGAGGGACCAGGGACTCGTCTTCGACTCGGCGAAACGAGGACGAGACGAGTATAGGAGAATAGTATACGGAGAAAATCAATCGCGCCTACATCCCCCTTCGAGTGAACCGTCGGCATGAACCAAATTCCCGAGCTGTTTGTCATAATCGGCGATGACAAAGCAATTCCATGGTTAAAGTGTTCCGGTCGGTCCCACACGATCAAAGCTACTCTCGGCTTTTGATTCGTGGTCGAACTTGATCACTTGCTCGATATATTAATCTCCCTGTTAACGTTTATATAAAGCTGACTATTCGATTCTTCTTGTTTCGCCTGGACGTTGAATTGAGTACACGCAAGAGTCGAATTCACGCTGACGATACGGACTTTGATACGTGTCTTTTTATCACTTCACCGCTAACAAGAGGGAAAAGTTCGACTCGGACACCACCACGGACCGTTTATAAAGTTAATCAACATTGATGAGACTCTGGAACACGCTCGTTTCCACCAACGTCGATCGAACCTTGACTTGAACTTCAAACTCTATCCAGGTGAGGACTCAAGCTCAGCTTAACGTTCAGTCGATCTGGGTGGAAACGGCCGATAGCCGAGAGGGATGGATCCCACACATTTCCCACGTATACATTTGTTATGTTACGCGATGCAGAAGACGGTTTCGAAGACGCGCACCACGACGAGCCCCACCGTGCCGCGATAAACAACAAAACACCATCGCCACTACGACCGAGAGAATTTACCGAGCCATTCCAAAATCAGTATTGTTATCTCATTCCATCTCCGCGATTGTCCTCGAGCTTCAGGATCGGCTTCGGGAACTTGCGCAACCTTGCTCATAAAAACGGACTAAAAAAAAAAAAAAAGAAAAAGAGAGGTCGAATTCTAATTTATTTAGCATTTACACTTCGAGATTGCACGTCTCCCTTTTTTTATTTTCCTTCTTTTCTTCTCTTTTCGTTCCTTTTTCTCTTTTTGTTTTTCTTTTTATTCTAATCATTCGCATAGTCCTCGCGTCACTTGTTCATCAAAAGCGCAAAACGTCGTTGCGTCTGACTGCGACACAACACACTCCGAAGTCCTAACTTCTCGTTTACTCCGAAGCCAGCCCGGTACTCGAACTCGAGCTCACGCGCCCACCGACGTGGCCCGCGCGAATCGGCCTTTGTATCCGGAAAAAGAAGGATCAGTATTCTTATTTATGCTACGTGAAAAAGAAGCGAGAAAAGAAGAGAAAAGAAAAAAACATAGTCGCGAGAATAACGCGTCGAACGCACGGCGGAGATCTTGAACGCAAAAGTCGGCAACTCTATCGCTAGAAACTCCTACGTCTTATTACAAACAGTTATCGCAGAAAGATCTGAAGAATTATCGCATGAAACTCGTCTCGAACTTGTAACAACATGTGTATAAATAGACATGTAATATTATAACTATATCGATATATATATACATATATCTACGTATATATATTACTTTAAAAAAACTTGAAAAAAATATAACGCCTCGCACAAGATTATGTTATTCTCTGTGTATTTTCAGGCACACGCTTCTGTCGCATTCCGACGGATATTCGCGCGTCTTCCTCCTCCACGTTCCTCCTCCCCCCCCCCTCTCCGTCTTTATAATCCGCGATGGCAAATGTTTGATCGTGTAAAGCCCGTGTCACACTACGGATTGAAGATTGAAATTTGACCAATCGGAATACAGCAAATTAAAACCGGAGTTTGTTGATTTGTCGAAATCTAATCTTCAATCCGCAATCCTTGATCTTCAATCCGTAGTGTGACACGGGCTTAAGTGCATGATACGTCACTTGTCATACGTTGGTCAAACACGTACAATAAACGGACGTCGAGATTGATTCCTGGTTTCGCGCGCGCGCGCGAATAAACAGCCGAGTCGAGAACATTTATAGCAGCGGCTTCTCGTACATTTCATGCGGGGAACCCCGTGATGTTCCTTACCGCCGTTCCGATCCATTTTCTCGCGTATTGTTGAGGAAGGAAAACATGAGGTTTCGATCTCTACGTTACATGCATCAGCATCAGCAAACCTTCCATTTTTATCATCCACTGTCACTTTTTCCCTTGCTCGCTCAATCCATCTCGGCTCTCAACTCCGTGTAAATACGGAATACTCGACTCACCGTTATGCCGCCGAAACGACGCCTTCGCCAGCAGAAGCTCCGTTGCCGCCTGTCGACGAGTCGTTATCTCTCGCTGCACTTTGGCCCTCGCCGATGACTCGGGGAATCTCGTCGAACGCGCGTCCCGCCGATTCGCAGAAGGATCGTCGGATGACGTCGCATTATCGATACGAACTTGGCGCCATCGTCCGCTGCTAACCTCTTCGGCGTCGGCCACGACGAGTCGCTCCGAACACGCCGCGAAGTGAAACGAAGCGAGCGCGTGTGCGAGCAATGGCGCGTTGACAATGCGTAATCGCCGGTCGAAATGAGTGCGCGGTAATTCTCGACTCGATTCGGCCGCAACAACCGCTCGCTAGCGCGACGCTACTTGCAACTTGCGAAAAACGTACGTAACGAAAGACCACTTGAAATGGCGTCACGTCTTTCGTACGTTCACGTGACACCAGAGATGGACGATGTTCAAGAAGATAATTCGCTCGGAAAACAACTAATTAGAGGTATCGATCTTTCGTATCATCGATAAATCGATTAATTCGAACCTTTTGGTAGTAGATTTTAATCTTTCCGGCTCATTAATTATAAGAGACTTATTAAAAAAGAGACGAGCTTTGTACTAAAAAATATAGTACCTTTTTCAACCAACGTGTTAATTAATGTAATTGCTGGAAAGTATTCAGTTGTGGCGCAAGTTGCGGCTAAATTTGATAGAGAGCGGTAAATTGTGCCTTAAATTTTAACTAAAACCGTCTTTTCAGCCGAGATTCGAATCACAATTTATCGGCCTTTATAATGTTTAGCCGAGTTTTTGTGAATTTCTAGAGTTGCATTCGCTAATACTCGTTGAATTACATAATACAAATGCATAATACAGCGCCAACCTCGAATTTCTTCCTTTACCGGAAGTGTCTCAAAATAATTGCTGTTCAGTTTTACAATAACTCTATTTTCTGTGGTGAAGAAAGAAGATCAAGAATGATCCCATCTTACGTAGTTCGACGAGTACTATCGAATGCAATTTTGAAAGTTACCCAAAAACGCCTGGTTTAGTCTCGAACTGATTTTATGAGGACTGATGATGAGTTATGGTTCGCATTTCGACTAAAATCAGTTTTCAGCTATGTAAAAGGAAATACTTCAATTATTTCTAGCTCTGATCTCATTATACAGTTATAGCAAAGCCGTGTCGAAAAAGGTGTTGCAGGAAAGAGATTAAAGGATGTTGCCACATTATTTGTGTGGCCGTCTAAAATTACAAGAGTAATTCATGAACTACGATAGAACACAGTTGGAGTGTTAGTGAAGCCTTTATTAAATTATGATACGAATTATCAACAAAGTGATAGCTATTTATAATTTCGAAACGACACAAATTATATTATACATTAGAGCAGCGCGCATTGTGCGGTGTGTGTGTGTGTGTGTGTGTGTGTGTGTATGTATGTGTGTGTGTGTGTGTGTGTGTGTAATATGATAAAGACTAAAAATATATTATGTATCAAAGCAATGTAAGTATCTATAGAAATTCTCTGCTTATTGATCTTGGTTTGAACACATCGATTTCGGCCGCCATATCTCGATCCCGTCCGTACCGGATATCGCAAGAACGCTATTCAAGTAGTCCATCTAGTAAAAAACAAACGGTACGAGAGAATATTTTTATTATTATTATTATTTATTTTATTATTATTATTCCAAAAACTGCACGTTCGTTTCCTTTCCATGTTTGCATAGAAATAAGGTTCCAGGATCAAACTGACATTTGTCGAGAACTAAAGAGAACTGGTTGTAAGAAATTTGATGAAAAATAATAAACTAACTTCTGAATTTCACCTTACAGGGAGATATACTCACACTGGCGACTTCTCCGAAGCGAAAAGTCAACGTAGCGAGACACTTCGGAGGATCCGTGGGGCTCGAAATTCTGACCGTTCCGTCGGTCGAACTCGTTATCAGACACCCGCGCGTCTGATGCACTCCTGTGATCCCTTTCTTGTGTCCGGTGACGTACGATTTGGCTATTGCAAAGTCTTTCTTCGGATTCAGCACGTGCAATTCCGCGGCGCTGTCGCCGACGTAAACCCAATCTCGGTGCATGCTCATGCACATGGGGAACGCGTTCTTCGAGATATTGACGCATCTGAGCATCTGCCTTGCTCTCTGATCCCAAATAGTGACTTTCTTGTCTTCGCTGGCGGACAAGATGTACGACGAATTCATGGCCAGCTTAATCACCGCCCTGGAATGCGGATGATACTCCACGATCGGCTTGTGTCCCGATCTCGAGTCGAACACGAACACGGTGCTGCTGTACGAACCGGCGGCAAAGACCTCCTGCTCTGCGCAAGATGATACACACAGCAGCGCATCCGAACCTCCCCTGAAAATTGTGCAAAGGATTATTTTCTAGGATTGGAGGTCTCACTCGCACTGTCTTTTCCAATAATAAAACTGCTTGTTGCATACGTCTCGTAAGTCTTGAGATGAACGAGGCCAGTGTTGGTGAGCAACCACGACTTGATAGTGTGGTCCCAACTGCAACTGTAAATGGTGTTGTCTATCGCCGTCAGGTCCCAGATCCATCCATTATGCGCTTGTTCTATGCAAGCAGCCTTCTCACTTTCGTACTCCTGCGTGGGAAGTTTCCAATAAACTAGGGAGCGATCCCTTGCACCGGATATACAGGTTGTTCCACCCTGCATATTGCGGAATGACATTATTGTTTCTATAAAAGTTTCTATAAAAGAAGCTAGATATTTGAACAATGTTTACTACCTACGTGCATCAACAACAGAGCATCTATAGTACTGTACTGTACATCTGTGAGCAACAGTTTTTCCATAGAATCTTGATGTCTCCATAATTTCATCTGTTTTTCGAGTGCAACGCATGCCAGTCTCCAAAACAAATTGTTGTCCTTTGCTGAAATTGCACAGAACCTTTTTCTTGAACAAGGCAAAGCAGAGAGAATATTCAGGATATATATATATATTTACAACTCAAATAAAATGCTCATGGAAGAGATTTGCTACGTTATGACTCTAATTAACTCTAAGTACTTTACCAGTTGTACAAGAGCACAGAATTAAGATTAAATATTTGATTGAGAGACAGTTATAAATATTACAAAGATTCAAGCTTATATTCAATTATTGCAATAATATAACAGAGCTGCTCAAACACATTCTGTATCTTACGATGTCTTTCCCAACGATATATATTTGCAGTACTAATTTCTTCTTGAATAAATATGAAATAATCGAGCAGAATCCCCCCCCCCCGTTGTTTTAACTTATTACATGGAAAGCAATTGTCTCAGCTTACATTGGCGTACGCAAAGTTTGAACAGCGCTGACGCAGAGGAGTAGTAGTAGTAGTAGTAGTAGTAGTAGTAGTAGTAGTAGTAGTAGTAGTAGTAGTAGTAGTAGTAGCAGTAGTAGTAGTAGTAGCAGTAGTAGTAGTAGTAGTAATAAGGCGGTGTTTGAGACTTATTTACAAAATGAGTGATCGCGTGCAAGGCGTGTAAGGTGCTATCAATTTGAGCTAACCGAGACGCAGGACCGGGTAGCTAGCATCCGTCCACATACGGTTAACTCGCGCCTTCCACAATGAGTCATCCCTTAAAATCAGGTAGAACTGTTTGCATACTGGGCTCAAAGTGTATGCTAAAGTCGACGCCTCTAAGAAGGAGCATATATGCAGGAATATCTGAAAGGCAGCGCGTGTAAATAAGTCACACACAGTAAACATAGGTTCACATACACACACGTATACACACATACACAAGTAAAATAAACACGAGAGACGTGAGGGGGCAAGAGGGAGGGAGGGAGGGAGAGAGAGAGAGAGAGAGAGAGAGAGAGAGAGAGAGAGAGAGAGAGAGAGAGAGAGAGAGAGAGAGAGAGAGAGAGAGAGAGAGAGAGAGAGAGAGAGAGAGGAGAGACAAAGAGAGACGATCACCGTTCACTGACACTTTAATTGCACCGACAAGCGACTAACGGGACGAAATGACAGCATCGACAAAAGGATGCACTTGGCGCGCGCGCCTGTGTGGTGTGTGTGTGTATGTGTGTGTGTGTGTGTGTGTGTATACGTGCGCGACAAAATAGGATCGTTGTTTCTCAAGGCAAACCTCGATCGGGAGATCCAACAGTGACACTCGTGCATCCGTTTTGCCGTCGCGCGCGCAGCTCGCGTTGTTCTTGTCGCACATTTTTCCTCGCACGGTGCACGATCGTCGAATCTGATAATTCTCATTCGATCTGCTCGAAGCTGACGCCGCAGGAACCGACGAAACGCAAGCCGCCGTGTGCTGCTGTACTAGCGCGCGTCACAACACCACGGATTTTATCCCGCGTCGCGATCGGGTCGTATTTATTAAACGGCGACGGGTATCACACACCGCCGAGCGCCTTATACAGTTCAGTCTGTCAGCAGAGACGCTTTTTCTCTCGTGCGTGCACGACAGCGATAGCGAGAAACCAGCGACGTACGCGCTGCATGTGCGTCCTGCCGCGGACACTTTGACAATTGTCAGGCCGGATAAGGTTAGGTAGGCGGATAAGCGAGCACCAAGACGAATCGGTAAATATTGATTTATTGACGTTGCTTGCTGAAATACAAGTAGAGATGTCTCCCAAAGGGAGTCGCGAGGAGACAAGCATACAGGCGTGCGAAACAATTCGCGTGTTTTAACCGAGACTAAACTGAGGGCCTACAGGCATCCCTCTTCCGTGGCAATTTGATACTTCATTGCGATCGCACTGCGAAGGCGCATGCGCGCGAAGAAGCGTAGCTCTCGGTGTGGCACCGCTTCGATTGTGAACTGTCACTTCGAGCGACTGGCAAAGTGTTTCGATGGTGGCGCTAAAGATGTTTTGACCTTCGCGGGAATATTTATGAAACTTGACACAGTGGATCGCCGGACTGCTGAAACGTTGCGCGTTGCGGCTGAGAATGGTTCCGACGGTGTAAATAAAATCCACAAGATTACGTAAACTATTTTATTCGAAAATAACAGTTGTTACGCTCTGGGTGTATTTGTTAAAATGATTTCAACGTTAAGCAATAATAATAAATATGCCAAGAATTTATTGCGCGATTTATATAAGTAATAAAAATATATCTACGTTAAAAATATACTTTTCTTCCCTCCTGACAGTTTACTCTATCTCACAATTAATTATATTAGAATATTTATGATACAATTGTACATATCCGCTTTTATTCATTAAGTAACAATATTCGTTTCTTCGTATAAACCTATATAAAAATTAGAAACATACTCATTAGAATATCTTTTTTCTTATCTGCCATTAGGTACCTACATACATACCTACAATTTCTAAATGCACATGTACATTGTAAAAGTGTGCGACATTTCTCGACTTGCTTAATCAGTTAAATTGCTGAAGTATCTCATCGCAATTACCAGGTATGTAAATATATGAAACCGGAATTTTTCTATAGAAAATACACGTTTATTGTATGAAAATGATAAACAATATTTTATTCGAAGTATTGCCCATCGCTAGCTATACATTTTTCCCACCTGTCTGACAATTTGTGGATGCCACGCCAAAAAAGACTGTTGCTCTTTTGAGGCAAACCAGTCATCGAGCCATTTTCGTACATTTTCGTAAGAAGTGAAGCGCTGCTCGGCAAGTGCGTGTCCCATCGATGCAAATAAGTAGTAATCGGAGCCAAGTCTGATGAGTAAGCCGCGTGCGAAAGTATTTCCCAACTAAACGCCTCAATCGTTTCCTTCACCAGTTTTGCTGTGTGTGATGGTGCATTATCATGAAGCAAAATCACTTTGTGTTGCCTTTTTTGATATTCTGGTCGTTTCTCACGGAAAGCTTGATTCAAATCGACCATTTGTTGTCGGTAGTGTTCGGTAATAACGGTTTCGCCAGGTTTTAGCAGCTCATAACAGATCACACCCTTCTGATCCCACCAAATACAGAGCATTGTCTTCCGTCCATAGCGATTTGGTCTTGCAGTCGATGTCGATGGTTCGCCTGGGCTTACCCGTGATCTTTTACGCTTAGGATTCTCAAAATATATCCACTTTCCATCGCCAGTCACAATTCGATGGAGAAATGACTTTCTTTTGTACCTGGCGAGCAGCATTTCGCAAGTGGTTTTTCGGTTTTCCTGCTGTCTTTCATTCAGTTCATGTGGAATCCATTTTCCCATCTTCTGGATCTTTCCCATGGCTTTCAAACGTAACGGAGACGGCTTCTCGCGTCACATCAAATTGATCCGCGAGTTGTTGTTGCGTTTGAGCGTCATCCTCATCCAACAATGCTTGCAATTCGCTGTCTTCAAACTTTTTCGGTGGTCTTCCACGTTCCTCGTTTCTCACGTCAAAATCGCCACGTTTGAATTGTTCAAACCACTCAAAGCACTGTGATTTACCAAGAGCGTGCTCACCGTAAGCTTCGACAAGCGTTCGATGCGATTCTGCAGCAGTTTCCTTCAAATGGTAACAGAAAATCAATGCTGTCCGCAAAAATCGTAGCTTCCAGGCACAAAATTCGACATGTTCAACGCTATTACAAACTATGCTGTTGTATGAAACTATTGTTGCGAGTTGAAAATCTTTGTCAGATGTCAACAAATGGAAATGGCGCCAATGACGCGGTTTGACGGTAACTATTGGCAATACATTGGCAGCTAGGGCCATCTATGGGCAAATTCCGGTTTCATATTTACAGACCTGGTAACGAGAAAAGCATGTAAGCTACATCACGTACACCGATACTGTTTGTATAAAATATATTCTTCCGTTCTATAGATTCAGATATACATATATCTCCTCAATTTATTAGGTGGAAAATATATATACGCATGTCTTTTCAGCTTAATTGAAGCTAATACCTCGGTGATCTACATTTTTCTACTCTTCTTCTAAAGACACACACCTCATCTCCTTGAAGTACATTTTTTTCTTTCGTTTACCGTATACCACTAGACTTTCGTTCATCCGTTAAGAATTTGCGAACATTCGCCTGAAAATTCCTCAAGTCGAACGCGCCAAACTAACTTAATTACATCGGGATTAAAAGTGACGGAGCATTCTGTGCGCTCCCCGACACTTTATATCAACGTTACTACCTCTGCTCTGCTGGCGCGCCTCTTAAATCCTCCCTGACGAAATAGAACGCGATGGAAGCGTCATCAAGGTGAAACGTCAACGGAGCTGAAGCAACCATCCGGAGCGACAATGAACAGCGACACCGGAAATAAACGGTGGAATCATAAAATGGTGTCTCTCATCAAGAAATTGGCTCATTCCGTCGTAAAGATGGAGAGCTTGCGCGTTATCGATAAGCCTAAAGCAGACAATTCGTTAAGCTCGCGTGACCTGCTGAGAGGAAGACGTAGTCGCGCCATCGCCGTGTATTCACGGAGATTTCGTCATTGTACGCGATTGCTTTTTAATCTTCCGAAGCGAGACATTCAGACGAGTAGCGGCGTATTTTCGACGAACGCTCCATCGGTGTCGATTCAAGTGCGGTTACGCATTGTAAGCTGAATGAGAGATCGCGGAAAGATGGATGACCGCACCGCTACTTCCGACGCGCTCAAAGTGCTGCTTACTTGGCGGGTTCTCCCTCATCTGTATTATTATCGATCATAATAACTTGACCTGATAACTACGATCTGGCTACGGCGGCTGATCGCGCGATAATTACGAAACAATCGTCATCAGCGCTTTGATCGCATCGGTCGAGCCACCGCTCGCATCAATACTGACGTTTTCGTGATGCTGAAGTATTCGAAAAATATCACAGATACAGTGTGTCAAGTTCAAGTGATAAGTTTCCATGCACGGGGTCGTTCAGAGCAGCGTCGGGAGAGCCGTAAAGCGGCTTGCTGGTCTGGACGAGTTGAGAAAAGAAAAGAAGTACAGCTCCTTTTACCGACCGCTTCCTAATCCGCTAGATCAAATCTCGCCGCGTAAAGTCGAACGTCTACGCGATCGTGAGAGAAGACTGATATTTCTGCACGTAAGACTAACCTAACGACCCACGAGGCCGCGAAAGGCAGATTTCACGCGGGTTGCCTGTGTGAATGTGTGTTCATATAATTATTCACACACACATATATATTACGGCAGACCAAGTTCGCGAGAGTACAGTACAAAGTGTTTCGTTCGTCCTTTGTGCAACAACAGGTCGAGATTGTTTCGTGGAAATTCTCGGCTGACTACCTCTGACCGGTGTCGCGACTTCTACATGAGCGATCAAAACGCGGCGGTTCTACGATCGAGATTGCTAGAGACATAATTCAAAGTTTCAAAGCAACGCTTGACACGTATATTAATGTTTCGAATCTGCGTAACACGATGCGAGAGATTAATAAAAAAGTGCATCATTATATCCTTTGTCCTGTGGGGGGATTGGCATGAAACGTTAATAAAAAATATGATAAATAGTTCCCTATTTCTCGAACTAAAAGGAATCAGCAATCTGATGGACTACGGCTAATGTTTTTCTATACTGCTAAGAATAAAGGTGAGGAGTACAAAGTGACACACTTTACCGCTATAAACACGAGGAATTTTGATAGTAGGAACTAGAGCGTATTATCAAACGGCTAGTCGCTAGAACAGCTTATCGCTGAGCATGACGTTTTTGAGGTGCTTCCCAACGACGTTATCAGTGCGAATGGACTATGACTACGACTAAGTACAAGAAACGTTAATTCGCCGTGAGATTGTCACATGGAGAGTAAGACTTGAATACCTTGGCGTGATTGACCAGAACGAACGTGGTGATCGCGCCTATCAAGGATCCGATTTGCGTCGCGACGCCGGTATAATAAAGACCTCTCCCAGGGTCGGGCCTGTACAACGTCGTGATGCCCATCTTGATGAATCCTATCAGGCCGCACACGATTATCCACAGAACGACCACCATTAGCTCGCCCAGCCATGAATTTTGTAAAGGAGGATGGGGCGACTTCGCGGCCAAGTAACAGATGAAGCCCGACAGCACCAGGACAACCGCCATGAAAATACTGAGCAGGTTGACCGCCGGTGTTTTGATGAAGAAACCCAAGCTCATGGCCAACGGGCCAGCTATGGCGGCGAGCGTGACTGTCAGGTGATAAGCGACGCTGCCGTATGGTAGACACGAGTACGACTGTATGCTCGGTAAAGTGCCGTTCCCGAGGAAGCAGACCATAGCCATCATAACTAGTAAGTAATAGTACACGTCCTTCGGCATCTTCCAGCCGGAATTAGTCTTGTAGCTCGGCGGTGCCGTCGTGTCGGTCGGCAAGGTCTCCATACTGCTCGGAAGCTTCACCCTCTCGCCGATCGCAACAGGCAGCACGTTCAGGCCCAAGAACGAGAGGAAGCTCAGACACAGGAGAGTACCGACGAAGACGAAGAAGATCTGGGATGAGAATCGCGGGTCGGACGGAGCAACTATAAACTCCAGATGGTCGGAGCCTGATTTAGTGACATTGATGCACCGCGGATTGTGGCCCACGCCTTGAATCAGCGCGACCGCGCTCGGCACGAATCCGCTCAGTCCTTCTCCGACCAGGTAAGACACCAGGTAAATCTCACGATAGTTCCTCATGTATGGCATGAAGAGCACAGAGCTCGTGCATCCGACCAGGGCTGTTATGAACATCAGTGACAGCAGGGCGGTTGAGTGGTTGTTACCAAACACGTTCGAGGTATAACCATATAGGAAACTCAAAGCAATCGTGGCGCACGATGCAGCAGCCAGCAGCACGTAGATGATGTATTTGTCGCACACCCAAGCTGAGTATCTGCAACAGATGGTTTCTGTTAATACCTGCCTAATAATAGTCACACATGTCTGAAGGACACATCTCAAAGGACACATCTAATAAAAAAGTAAGATGTCATCATCGAGTAGCCAATAATCAATATTTCAATTTCTTTCAGATGTCTTCAGACATACATAGTCTCTGAGACACGCTTGCCCAGGTCTCCATCACACACTGTAAGTTACATAAGACATACCTTATGTACAAGGTATACAATATCGGTCCCAAGTTTGCTATCTGCACCAGCATGACCATATGTGCGGGCAGACTCCATCCTTCCGGGGCAGTGTGCACTATGAGAGGCAGTTGTACGTAGATGCCGTTCACGCCGATCCAAGCACCCAGGCCGAACATTAGCGCGAGGAAGTCGACCAACAGCCTCCGGTTACTTAATTGTTGGGTCAGCATGTTGCGTCTCTCCTCAGGACGTTGGTACCTTTCAATAGTGCCGTATGCGTGATAACTGCGGTTCGTGTCATTGATCACGAAGCCACTCATCGGTCTTCCTCGACTCTCAGCTCAGAGTCTTTCACACACACTCACACCTTGCCCCCATTGGGATACGTTACGAGCGCGGCCACAATAGGAGCAACGAATGTTATCGCACATACTGTTACGAAATTAAGCTATTATAATCAAGTGAACGGATATAACAACAATCGAGATAACGGTCGTGACACGAAGACGTTACGGATGGTCATCGAGGTCCGTAATATGACAGTCGCCTCGCTCCGTCCTTCTCACCGAGAACCAGGTCGCGAACATAACCTATACGCGCGTGTAACGGGCGGCCCATGGTAACACTTATACGAGACGAGCTGCCTTTCGATGTTCACCGCCAATACTGAGAATACATAGTTTGTGTCACGTATACTATAGATCTTCAGTGCTGGCAGTGAATATCGGAACGCAGCCACGACGACCTCGCAAGTGTATGTCGCGTAATCAGCTGAGCGATAGCGACAATCGATACGAATGACGAGAAGGTTCGACCTCGCGTCGGCGGCGATGCTCTTTGAGATCTTGTTTATCGAGAGACGTTATTTAAATTGCTCGCCGCGATGATGAGTCATCCCTAATTGCTCGTCGACTCGGCTATAATAATTCCCGACGGGACGACACTCGCGGTTCGCGTTTATTCATCGTCAAGCAATTCCTCGCGAGCCAACGGAAACGTTCCCGTCCGCGTTCTTCGCCGGGACGGGAAACAAGAACGCTACATTGGCGCTCATTAACAGTTCCACGAAGACCAATCAAAGTGCCATGAACGCATTGTCATCGACATCATTCTCTCGCGAATGATCAGGGATTGAAAGGTGCGCGTTCGAGCAGCACGCGCTGCCAGCGCTGACGCGTCGCTCCATCCTCGTCACTCGTTGAATAAACAAGGATAGAGCGACGCGTCTGCGCGCCTAAAGACCGTATCACACTAGCAACTCGCGACTGCGGCTGCGGCTGCGATTGCGATTGCGATTCCTTCCTCGACCGGTCAGAAAGCGGCGACTCACGACTGTCGTTCGGCTGACTTTCTGATGGCTTTCCGATTGGTCGAGGAAGAATCGGAATCGCAATCGCAATCGCAATCGCAATCGCAATCGCTAGTGTGATACGGTCTTTACAGCGCGCTCCTCCGAGCGCGCAGCCGAGCAGCAGTCACGAGTCGATGCAATCGAGTGCAATCGAACGAAAAAGTTTAATGAGAGCTTATCGTTCACGATTCGATAGATCGCACAGTTGCGTCAGTGTGATAACAGTGCGGCGTCACTGCGCATCCTTGAAATCGCGCTCGAAGGGACTCGCTGGTTTTTTCTCGGCGGACGGACATGGATTTGTAAATTTACACGATCACTGGAACGTACCTGACGTGACAGAGCGACGTGTCCCGCGATCGTGAGGCCTCGAATGACCTCGGATCCGCGGCCGGCCGCGGGTATCAGCAGTGACGGCTTTGGGAAGTTAGGAAGGGATGTCCCCACCAAAGGTACCTGTTGAGCACGCCGGGGGATGATAAATGACTATGGCTTCAACGGAAGGAATTTTGCGAAGCCTGCGCGTTTATCTTGAACGAATCGCCGGCTCCGCAGAAAAGTACAACTGCGCGTTCGTGAAAGGCGATTTTGGCACGATTTTGGATATTCGGGGAGAGAAGAGGAACGTGGTAAAATAATCCGTTTTACTCTTATTTCTCACGGCGTCGTAGCGTTGCTACATTGAATTCTCTTTTCCGGGCGTTCCGGTGTAACGTTTAGTCCTGCGGGATCTTTTAATCGCCGTTGCGGCGGACGGACGAATGACGAGGAAGTCCGGGAAGGTCGAGAAGAATCGGTATTGAGCGCTGACGATATTGTCGGCGCGATAACTTGAGAGACATTTTCGTTCTGTTGCAATTGTACTCTCTCTCTCTCTCTCTCTTTCTTTCTCGTCGAGAGCTGGACAGTGATTTATCAGCGTTGATATCGGCGGAGAGGATTACGTGGATATGCGATAGGGCCAATTGAATACAACAGATTGAATATAGCAAGAACTTTATAAAAGACGAGGCAGACTCACAGATGGTTTAAGTACATTAGTATTTGTCTCAAAACTCTTGAGTGTTTTTATGTTGTTATTGTTGTTGTTGTTGTTGCGTTCGCATTGTTAGTTTTCTTGTTTTTGCTTTTTTTTTTTTCTTTTATTCATTTGGAGTAGAATCACACGGATGAAAAAAGAAGTTTCTCGCAGAAAACGTGCTCTTGCATTGTGCTCGAGAAAGAGTTGTACGGATATATAACATTAATTTAAACGGAGTCCCCGTTGGATGACAGGCGGAAAAAGGAAACGCCGAATTATACCTGACATAAGCTTCTTCGTGGTTGCGCCATAGTATCGTTGCCTGTTTTCTCGTTTCATTTTTTTTGTCCTCCCATCATTTTTTACCTCCGGACGATAAGTATGCATAAACAATCGGCGAAACTCTTATCGCGGCATTTCACGGAAAAGAAGAAAAGGAAAACCGCGTTGCACTCTCTCTCTCTCTCTCTCTCTCTCCCTCCCTCTCCCTCTCCCTCCCTCCCTCCCTCTCTCTCTCTCTTCTCTTTCACTCCCCCCTCTCTCTCCCCTCTCGCTCACTCGCCTCTCTCGCAAAGTCCATTCGTCAACGTTTCTTCCTCCGTTTGGGGCGATTGAGTATTCTATGTACTGTACGCTCTCTCATTATTATCAAATATATGTACATGTAGTATACAAATATACGTACGAAGTGTCGTATATCATATATATTGTATATGCATATATATACACATGGCTCGTTTAATCGTATTCTATTCGCGATCTCGTGCGCTGCACGTTGGTTACCTTGGTTAGCCGATTTGCCGTCAGAGTTGGATCGTTCGCCAAATTCGCGGTTCAAAACTCCGGCGCGCGCGCGCGCGCGCGCGCGCGCGATGGTCGGATCGATCGCGCGGTGGTCGATCCTCTCGCCGGGCCTGGAAAGGGCCGCTCTCGCGGCCATCCGCAGACGCGGAAAGCCCGCGGAAAAGTACCGCCGCGCGGGATCGCTGCGCGACCACCGCGAGCGACCTTGCGGCGCTGTCACGGAAGCTCTCGTATAATCGTCGCTCGAGTTGCAAAATTCCGAGATTGCTGGGGACCGGCTGCGACACAATGGCGCGGGAAACGACGATGTACACATCGAGAGAAGTCATCATATATATATATATGTATAGATGTATGCGTATATACCTGTAAATATCGAACGAATACCGTATCAGCGAGTAAACGAGCGCGACGGATGAGTGTGTTGGAGTGAAACGCACGCACGCGCGCGCGCGTGTGTGTGTGTGTGTGTGTGTGTGTGTGGAAACGAACGAGGGATCGATCGCGGTTCGATTTGTCGTACGTACGAGCTAAGAAAGCGCGACCGTGCGTGTCGTAATACGAGTACATATTCCTAGAATGTTCCTATTATTTTCTGCGCGCATGGTCGTCCGCCGGCGCGCACCGCCTCTTCCGCCTCTTCCGCTTCTGCTTCCGCTTCTCCCGGCTCGCTTCGCCCGACTCGTCGAACGAGTCGCCGAATAATGCAGTCGCGATCGCGAGGCACAATTGCGATTAATCGCCGGGGTCGATCATGTCGCTCGGCATTTCCCGTTGAAATGCCGCTCGACGGAATTCCTTTCTTACGAGTAAACCTACCTACCCGAGTGTCCCATTCCGATTTTGATGAAATTTTGCATGCGTATAGAGCATCGAGAAGTATTAGATACGTATTTTTTTTTTATATCGGCCCATAAAGCGTTTTAAGGGTAGAAATTACCATTAAAATGTCAACTTTTTTGCTTTCTCGTCCTGTACATAAATGCTCAATGTCAAGAAATGTTTGAGAAAATAATGTTTCCAGAGGGACACGTCAGCTGTTTTTATGTCACCAAATCCGAATTCACCAGAAAGTTTGAGACGTTCAAAATGGCGGATCGATATTTGAAGAACATCATATTTTTCGAAAGTTCGTGTACATTTATTAATTTCTCATGAATCGTGTATCTCAAGGTCTTCAGAATTAAAAACTGTAATACATAATCAAATTTGGGAAACTGTATTTAATAATATATACTTCACATGTATACTCATTAGCCGAATAGGTCCACATATCTTCATTATTTGGGCAAAACATCCGTCTCATTTACTCGTTATCATCAGCCTAGAGAAGCCACATACCAAATCATACACCGATTCCAAAAATTGATGGAGAAATGTCTTCAAATTTTCATCCGCCATGATGAATCCGACATTTTGAGTTTCAAAATCTGATTCTAGATTTGCTTCTTACTCTGAAGACCTTGAGATATGTAAATCGCAGAAAATTAACAAATGTATGCCAATTACGACAGAATCATGATATTCTTCAAATATCGATCCGCCATATTGAAAGTCTCAAATTTTCTGGTGAATTCGGATTTGGTGACATAAAAGCAACTGATGTGTTCCTCCGGAAACATTATTTTCTCAAACATTTCGTGATATTGAGCATCTTTATATAGGACAAGAAAGCGAAACAACTGACTGATTTTAGAGGTTTAGGTTTCTACCCTAAAAACGCTTTATGGGCCGATATAAAAGAATACACGTCTAATATTTTCCGATGCTCCGTACGCATGCAAAATTTCATCAGAATCGGAGTGGGACACTCCGGAGCAGGTTTGCTCGTTAGTGAGTTCTCTTTTTTTAATGATTCGTGACCGAACGAATTCGTGACTCTGGGAACTCTGCGAACAATTGCGTGAACTGAGAGACGGCTGGATCTTTCTCCGAGGCGCTTTTCCTCTCGATTCGAGTTTATCGCTTCGAATCGGCCGAACGTTCGTTCTCTCGCTCCTCGCTCTTAAATCTCGCGTTACGTAAGAACGAAGCAGCTCGCGCTGCTCTCCCCCCTCCTCCCCATCCCTCCCAGCAACGCGGTTCTCGCGAAAAGGAAATTAATCGACTGGATTGTCGAAGCGTGGCAGCTGCGCGAGGAATTTTACATAGAAGTCTCCGTCTCGGTATTTCTCTGCACGCAGCGAGTATGCCGAGGACCGCTTATCGTTCGCGATCGTCCACTCTTCGCTACGTGTCTCCCCGGCCAAGTCTTCCGCTGTGATTCTGCTTTTGCAAGGTATCTCGCGGGGATTATTAACGAAACTCGCTGCTCTCACGGTCAATGACAGCATCGGAGTTGGCGCGATAGTTATCGCCGAGCGCAAACGCGATGAGAGATAAGCGGCTTGATAAACCACCGACGAGTACCATCGAAATTTTTCAAATTTAGGATCGCGATATCGGAGCGTCGGAGCGCACGATACGAGCACAGTGTTGAACGCCGCGACGGCAGAAGAATGGAATAAAAGAGGTGGAAGAAAAGAAGAGCGGGCAGATCCCCGCTGAAATTCCCGCGCGCGCGATTTCTTCCAACGATCGTTCGCCTTTCCGACTTTCGCGTCTACGATCGACTCTTCATCCGACATAATGTCGAAATCGAAATCGAAATCCCGCTCGCTCGCGAGGGTGAAGCAGAATTTTCGCTCCTCGGGTGACCAAATGCGGTTCCGAGAGCGCCGGAAGTTCCACCGTCTTCCGTCACGGAGAAGAAAGAAGATCGGCCGAATGCGCGCGAGGATGAACGAGGCAGACGCACCGCTCCGCTCGGAGCAAACACAATTTCTGCTTCTGACGAATGAAACTCGGCTCTACGAGCCGGAAAACTCCGTCCCCTTCCGGAAGAAAGAACTTCCAGAGAGAACTTCGTCGATCCTCGCTCATTAACGTCGCCGATCTTCCCCCGTCCAGGTCGACGCTCGTGGTCGATTCGACTTTCCTCTCCCCCCTCTCTCTCTCTCTTCCCTGACTACGGTTCCAAGTCCCACCCTGGTCCA